GCATGATCTCGGCTCACTGCAACCTCCGCCTCCTGGGTTTAAGCAATTCTCCTGCCTTAGCCTCCCAAGTAGATGGGACTACAGGCACACACTGCTACGCCTGGCTAATTTTTTGTATTTTAGTAGAGACCGGGTTTCACCTTGTTGCCCAGACTAGTCACCGAACTCTTGAGCTCAGGCAATCTGGCCGCCTCGGCTTTCCAAAGTGCTGGGATTACAGGTGTGAGCCACCACACCCAGCCAGTATTCATTTTTTAAAAAGGTTTATGTTTTCATTGTTCTGCACCTTGAATTTTTATACCCCCTGTAATAATGGATCTTGGAGATTGCTTCATATCAGTATATAAGTTGCCTATTGTGCCATCTTTAATACTTAGAAGGTCCTCTGTTTCATACTTTTAATAAATGTTTTATTTGGGGGCATGTAAGGGAACTAATTATACTACAAATGGAATGAGGGCTGAGTAGAATGTGACCTTGGTCTGTGTGCATTTTCCCCCTCGATTTAGCCTTACATAACTAAAATAATACAATAGCTTTTGGAATACACTGGAACCCACCCTGGTCTCTGTGTGCCTGTCCCAATTGCCATCTTAGAAAAAATAATAATAATTAATTAATTAAAAAAAGAAAAGAACTGCCTTTGTTTTGCTGAAGTGTTATAAATAGTAGGGAAGGTGTCTTTCCTGGCAGCATGCGCTCCCCTGCTGCTTTTCCACTGCCTGACAGTTACCGCCCTTGAGAGGCGCCAGTGGGAGCCATCTCACCGAATTGATGAAGAAACCTAGGACTTTACATCTTGAGCGACGTTCAATTAATAGACAATTTGCTTGAGATACTTCTTGCCAGCGAGTTGGCAGTTGCCTGGTGATGGAGAAAGAACGGATGTGAGGCTCATTTGTCTTTTGAACTGGGTGGCAAAGCATTCATGGAAGAGGCCGGTGTTCACGTGGCATTTCACTGCGCACCACATTTAGTTCTCCCGACCTTCCCCCCAGGCTCATGCCTCACCATGGCTGGGGGTGGTGGTGAACACAGGAGAACATATTGGCCTTTTGCTATGTTTCCTGCTATGCCTGAAACTGTTTCGTCTTCCCTTTCCCTGGCCAATGGTAAATGAGCTTGGAAGTTCAGCATCTTGGGGAGCAGCAGCAAGACGGTGTCATGGATCCAAAGCAGAAACGCAAAAAGAGGCTACCTGGGGTGGGAGGAGGCGGGGGCGTCTCCAGGTGTGTAGAGACACAGTTTCCTCCTTACCCTTTAGAGCCAGCTTTCCTTAAAGACCCTCGCTCAGGTACTCCTGCTGTCTGTGTCGTCCAGAGAGCAAGCACAGTAGCGCAGTTTCTGTGTGAGTTCTGTCTTCTCAGACTCCTCATCCCACCTTCAGTGATGTCATTATTATCTAAAACCACTGCAGGGAAGCCATCTGCAGGCCTAGCCTCCTGAGAGATTTCCCTAGACTACTAGGTAGATATATGCTAAAATCTCCCCCAGAACAACCCATAGCTAAATAAAAACTTTAAAACATTAAAATCTCCCTCGTCCTGAAAGAAAACAAAACCAAAATCGCTCAAGCCTGAGTATGCCTCAAGCTACTGCCCTGGTTGTCTCCTGCTCTTCACTGCTAAGCTACTGGAAGAGCCGGCTCTGTTCACTTTTCCCATAGTATGCTTCTGTCTCAGCCCTGTCCCTTGGATTCCGGATTTCATCCCAGGAGAGATGTTTACTGTCCTGAAACATCTCTCCTTCAAAGGTCAGGCACATCTTCTAAGCTGCCTCTTCTCAACTCCCATCCTGCGTGACCACTTTCTAGAATAAGACAATACTGATCATCCCTTCTCATCTGTACCTTTCTCCACCTGGCTTCCAAGGTGGCACGTTGTCCTGACTGTCCTCTGCCCCCTCCCCTGTTCCTTCTGACTCCGCACCCTCTGGTGGTGAGCTGCTGGCTCCGCTCCCCCAGCCTGCCCTCTCAGAGCTTTGTCTTTCTTCCTGCATCCAGCGTGTCTGCACAGATATCTCACAGGCATCTCAGACTCATCTACCTCCTTGCTATTGCCCCATTCCTGCAGCACCCCTGCATCCCCACTGGCTTGGTTTGGACCATATGGTCCCCCACCTGGACGATGCTCTTCTAACTAATCTGTTTCTACTCACATTCCTTCCATTCCATTCTCAACTAGGCATCAAGAATACTTTGCCTAAACATCCTTATGCTGCTTCCTTTCTTCAAACCCTTCACTCAGCTGGTGCAGTGGCTCGCGCCTGTAATCCCAGCACTTTGGGAGGCCAAGGTGGGCTGATCACGAGGTCAGGAGTTCAAGACCAGCCTGGCCAATAAGGTGAACCCTGTCTCTACTAAAAATGCCAAAATTAGCCGGATGTGGTGGCATACACCTGTAGTCCCAGCTTCTCAGGCGGCTGAGGCAGGAGAATTGCTTGAACCCAGGAGGCAGAGGTTGCAGTGAGCTGAGATCATGCCACTGCACCTCAGCCTGGGTGACAGAGTGAGAGTTCGTCTCTTAAAAAATAAAAAAATAATAAAAAACAAAAAGCCCTTCACTCTCTCCCCATTGCCTGTATAGAAAAGTCTGAATGTTCTCAATGAAGTAGGTAGGTCTTTCATGGTCTGGGTTCCTACCAGTCTCTCTAGATTGATCTTACGCTTAGCTCTTCATTTCTGCTCTACAGTTTTAATAAGCATGTGTGTATTTTCAAGCCTGTGTTCTTGCCTGGCTGCTCTGCTCGCCAGCTGTGTAAGCCTGGGTGAATTAGGTAACCTCTCTGAGTCTGTTTTCTCATCTACAACCGATGCATCAGTTGCTGCAGGGCACCAAGAAGTGTGTGTGCATACCTGGTACACAAGTGATTCATACGTACCAGCTGTTATTAAAGCCTTCCACCGCACTGTCCTTGTATGCTTTTGTGTATCTGCATCGCTCTGTCTCCCACCAGACAGGGACAGGCTCTCGATGCAGGGACAGACCCTCCTCCCCATTATCCTCTACAGCCTGTAGCATAGTGCTTTGCAGAGTTGGATCTCAGGAATTGTCTGCTGAATTGGTCAAACTGAATTGAATGGACTCGGCTCCTACTTCTTCTCTCTCCACCAATCTGTGCTGCTGGCCACTAAGACGCAAATAGCCACTCTTTTCTCCCTGGTCTGCGTCACACCAGGCTCAGCGGGCCCCCTGCCATGTTCTTTCAGTGTGAAGCTAACAGAGACTCTCTTTGCCATGTGAAGCACTGTGGCTTGTATTTTGCAAGTCACCTGTGGCCACATCCATATTTCAACATGAACAGTTTCTAAGGAGCATTCCATGCAGACATGAAAAAGAAGATGAGAAAGTTTGTTGTTGTTGTTGTTGTTATTTGTTTTTTGAGATGGAATCTCGCTCTGTCACCCAGGCTGGGGTGCAGTGGTGCGAGCTCAGCTCACTGCAACCTCTGCCACCCAAGTTCAAGCAATTCTCCTGCCTCAGCCTCCGGAGTAGCTGGGACTACAGTCATGTGCCAACACACTCAGCTAATTTTTGCATTTTTGGTAGAAACAGGGTTTCTCCTTGTTGGCCAGGCAGGTCTCGAACTCCTGACCTCATGATCAGCCCATCTCGGCCTCCCAAAGTGCTAGGATTACAGGTGTGAGCCACCGTGCCCAGCTGAGAAGGTCTGTTTTAAAGTGCCTTTACAAGTTACTGGTTAAGAGCATAATCAGAAGGAAATCGAGGTTTACATTCCAATACAGCCTCACCACCAGCTGAGTCTTGCATGTGGTTTTGGTCAAGTTAACTAACTTCTGTTCCTCAGCTTCCTAATGGGAAGGTGGGCGTATGGTGGATGAGATTGCTAGGGTCTGGGGAAAGACAGAACTTTGAGATAAACTGTGCATCCTTGGGCAAGTTGCTTAACCTCTCTGTTCCTTAGAGTCCACATGTGTAAAAGGAAGGTAAAAACACTGTGTATACCACAGCGTTTTTGTCAGGTTAGATGAGATAACAGGTCAGTGTTCAGCGTGGTCTGTGAGGCGTATTAAGGACTCAGGAAAGATTAGCTGGCTATTTGTGTTGCCAGTAGTGCAGTTGCTATTGTTGTCAATGGTACTATTGTTATTATTTCTACTATCAGAACTACTGCCGAGTCCATTTTACTACGTTCAGCCCTGCATCAGATGCTGATAAGTGTCAGGTCAGAGAAGAAAGCTGACAAACGTAGGCAGGGGCCCTAAAAGTAGATTGAGGGGGACACCGCACATTCACTTCATTACATTTTTGAGAGAAATGTCTGTGTTATCCCAAAACATCAGAAAAAAATATAACCCAATATCTCTTCACCACACCTTCAGATGCAGCTCAGATGGCATCCCCCAGTCTCCACGGAACACTTAAGCCTTATCTTTTGTTTCCAAGAAGCAGCCACCTACAGATGATTTGATCTCGTTAGGAAATAGGCATCAACTTGAACACTGTTGTGATTGCATCGCAAACCCATCAGCTGGTGAAAAGGGAGTTTGGATCAGAAGGTCTGAGCAAAATACGGAAAGCAAGATTACAAAGGATAGTGTCTATTGAAGGGTCAGGGACATGAAAGCAAAAGAGACCCAACCAACGGAATAAAAATGGAAAGTAATTGACAAAGACCATGCATAATTTTAAGACTTAGGGAAAAGAACAAAAGAAAAGCTCTAAGTACCTAGATGGAAGAAAACCACATAGAGTAATTCCAGAGTTTTCTGTGAACTCAAAGGGAATATTAATTAAGATGGTACAAGTCAATTCAGGTAAAACAAGAATGAATCCACAGCCATATATATGTGCAGATATATGCATATTCATGTCTCTGTGTGTATGTGTGGGTGTGTGTAGCTATCTCTGGAATATAAAGAGAGGTAGAAGAATAATTCTAGTGTTCTGATTTATCTTGCTGAAAGGAATTGAAACTTTGCTATTAAGGGGAATTCCACATTGTTTTAGCACAGCAGTGCCAAGAAAATCCCCCAAATAAAATAAAGACTGGTTTTTCAATTTCCAGCCCAGTGGAAAGTGACTGAAGTTTTAGATGACTATTAAATCATTTCTCAACTATATTTAAGTTTTTATAGAGTGAAGTGGGAGTATTATGCCCACATGTCTATCCATGCATGTAGTAAAAGTTTGACTTCCAAGTAAACAGTATGGTTTTTCAAATACACACATTCTAAAACTGATGTATCTTAGCGACTCAGCATGGTCACCTTGGAAAGCAATGTAATTATTCTAACGATCTGCAATTACTGAAAACTCTTTTGAAATACCACTTTTTCATTCTTCTCATAGCTAATTATGAGTCATGAAAAAAGAAAAGCATTTATTTAATAAAATATATTTATCAAACACCTCCCATGTATCAGGCATTGTGCTAAACATCAAGAATATGGACATCAGTAAGACAGGGGTCTAAGAAGGCTGATGGTATTATTTATTGACTCAAAATAACGATACCAAGCATGCCCATGCATCTTATTTTTTAGACCTGGTTTTTTCCAAAAATCAGATCCACCCTCAAAGAATCAAGGTGTGGTACTACTAAGGGTATTCAACATTTATTGTCATCTTTGCAATGAGCATTTCTCAAATAGAAATTCCATCTAATGCTTTGCGCAGTAGTGGAGTCATTGTTTAGTTTCCCAGGTGAACTACCTTTTAGGAGAGAGGACCCACTTTCATGGCATTCTAGTATTGTTTTTAATCATTCACTGTACTTTCTATCTGCATATGTACTTTCAGTAGAGCACATATTATTTACACACATATACATACAAATCCTCCGCCCTTAGCATATATCATAAATCTCAACACTTTTCTATTAGGGCACTAGTGGGATTCCTGGGGCTGTGGGCTGACAGGATGCTCAATAATTGATTGTCATTTTCTCCCCTTCTTTCAGAATCCTAGGGAATCGGGTGGCTGAGCTGGAAAAAAAGTTAAGAACTCTGGAAGTTTCTGGTTTGTGGAGTCTTCCAGGTAAACAGAACTTTATGAAAACTATTTTCCTTTTGTTTTTTTTTGTAAAGAAATGAAGTTCCCACATAATTTACAAGAATATGCTACCTTTTTAAAATTCTTTTATTTGTAGATCATTGCTGAAAAGATCTATAAGTATTCTAAGTTTAGAAATTGACATGGCGGGGTGGGGGTGAAATCGGAAAAATGCAATAAATATTCAGGATCTCATCTGTGGAACGATAACGTTTTGCAAACCTGAATTCTGAAATTGTCACTGTGTCTGTATTTTTTTTTTAACTTTCCTGAATGTAGTGAATTGTTTCTTTTAATCTGTAGATATCTTATAAGGATTTATTCAGTGTGTTCAATTTAATTATTGGCCCTAAAACTGAATATAAGAACTCAACAAAGATTTGTGCACACTAATCACCAGTCCTGAAATTGAACGTAAGAACATACAGAGATTTGTCCAATTTAATCACCAGTACTAAAAATGAAGATAAAAACCAACAATTTTTCTAACCCAAAATGTACCCCACCACCTCCTTCTCTTCCCTTCCCCCATCCCATTTTTTACTTAGCCTGAAAATCTGAATTTTCTGTGATTTTTTTTTTCAGCTGTACATTGTGTTTGGAAGCTCTGGTGTTCCACTTTAATTAGCTGTATTTATCTCACTTGTCTTGGTAAACTACTCCTTTTGTGAGACCCCAGTCAGCCATTCCCCGTTGATATTTTACTCTTCAGAAACATATATTTACCACTTCCACCATCTCCCCTTTCCCTGGAAACCATGCTGTACATATACTTTTAATTACTTAACCTTCTGCACAAACCAGTCTCCTTCCTTCTTGTATCATATGGATGCTTCCCTGGAGTGAACAATAAGTAAAAATTAGCACAGGGAGGTAGGCGGACGACATGTTTTCTGAAATATAAACCTGAATCGCTGCCTTAAGTTGCCTTTATGTGTGTTTTTCTTTTTTGAGACGGAGTTTTGCTCTTGTTGCCTAGGCTAGAGTGCAATGGCACCATCTCGGCTCACCGCAACCTCCACCTCGCAGGTTCATGTGATTCTCCTGCCTCAGCCTCCCAAGTAGCTGAGATTACAGGCATGCGCCACCACACCTGGCTAATTTTGTATTTTTAGTAGAGACAGGGTTTCTCCATGTTGGTCAGGCTGGTCTCGAACTCCCAACCTCAGGTGATCCACCCGCCTCAGCCTCCCAAACTGCTGGGGATTACAGGCGTGAGCCACTGCACCTGGCATGTGTTTCATAAATTGGAATTTTTAGCAGTGATTCCTTGAACTTGATGTCAAAAGACCTAACAGAACTAATTAGTGCCAGATACAGTCCTGGGCATTTGAATGATCCATTTCTGCACAAGAATCTTTTGATGCCGTTAAAACCTCATCTTCTATGAAGGCCTTTCTTTTATTGCATTGAATTGCAGCACAGTTGGGTAACTTGATCATGTATTTGTACAGTCAGACTGCCATTTCTGTGCATGTACGGGGGTACAATTTTGATTTTCTTTTTCTCAGAATGACTTGGTGAAATTTCTCACTGTTTCATTTCTACAATTTATATTAAAAGATGGAAGTTACGTGAGTGAACAAATGCTGAGAATGTTCTATGGTTTTGTTTGGTCTAAGTATGACTTCGAATGGCCATTATGCAATAACAATTATTTCCTTCCTTCTTTTTGCTGCCTGAAGGCCTGAGCTACAATGTTTCAGTAGGATTTGGGAGTATGTTCTGTTTAAAATCTCTGTTTTTGTGGCGAATATCAGCAGTGCTTTATGTTGTCTCTGCATGTAAATAAGTAGAAATGCATTCTCTACCTTTCCTTGAAATTTTCTGATTAGAATTGTCAATTGAAATAGAGAATTCAATTAGTACAAAACAAATATTAAAGGATGAAATTAGCTTTGGGGGCCTGGCTGAATGAATTTTATGCTATGGCCCTGTGTGTTCTCATCTCCGGTCTCCACATAAATACAAAGTGGGAGGACAGGAAAAAGAGTGGCAGCTCCCCAGATCTGAGACAGCTTATGTCATGGCAACAGCATTGCCCTCCTGCAGTGATGAAGGATTTTATGATGAAGAATCGTGTTAGGATATTTTCAAACCATGGTGAAAGCAAAGGGAGAAGAGCCTCTTCTAGTGTAAATCAGATCAGTCTCTTCTGTCTGCTCATTGTCTTTTGTGACTCCATTTAAACTAGTGAATGGTAGAATAAGATGCAATACATCTTTTTCTCCCCCTCCTCCTCTTCCTCTTCTTTCTTTCCCCAAGTAGGAGTCAAATCATAGTGTTTAGCCAACTTGAGAGCAGAATCCCAATGACATCAAAGAATTGCCAACTCTCCCCCATTTACCATCACCTGGAAAGAATCCATGTCTCTTCCAGTAATCAGCCCACTGATGCGTTGGTATCCTTTCAACATTTCAGCACTGACTTTGTGAATTCAGTTCTGTACCAGGCGTCCTAGACATGCTTATCGCCCTCTGCAAGAGCCTACAGTCCACGCAGGGAGGCAAGATGAATACACATCAAGCAGTGAGAGGAAAGGGAAAAATGGCCTATAATTCAGTGCTAAATTAGTGATAAAGATTTTGTGCGTGTGTGTGTGTGCAGTGGTTAGGGCTAGAGTGGGTGCAAAAGTGTAAGGAAGCATGGAGGGTGTCAGCAGTCATAGCAGGCTTCCCTGTAGTGGTAGCCCGAGCCAATTAAGTGTGTGGGACTAAATGTAACCCAACTCCACTGATGATGTAAGATATCCATCTCCCCCTTTTCCACAACAGGAAGCAAGGACACCATACTATTCAGTGACCCCACTCTTCCTAGTGGACAGAGGTCAAGATCCCCACTGCTGAAGTTTGTTGAGCAGCCCTCTGAGAACAGAGTGGACCCCAAAGATGGTAAGCATGCCTCGATTTCTCCATCTTTACCTGGACTGTGCCTGCCACAGAGGAGTGACTCAGTGGACATCAGTCTCCTCCCCTTTCTGCCGCTGCTTTGGCATCACTGGGACATTCCTCAGATTTCCTCTTGTTGCTTATATGGGTTTATCTTGTTGGGAAATTTTAACTGAAAAACGCAGGCCCCTACTCTCTGGGCATGGTGGCAGAGAGGTTAAGAGAGAGGACCCTGGGCCAGGTACAGTGGCTCACACCTGTAATCCCAGGACTTTGGGAGGCTGAGGTGGGTGGATCACCTGAGCTCAGGAGTTCAAGACCAGCCTGGCCAATATGGTAAAATACTCAGGAGGATGAGGCAGGAGAATCGCTTGAACCCAGGAGGCAGAGGCTTCAGTGAGCTAAGATTGTGCCACCACACTCCAGCCTGGGCAATAGAGCAAGACTCCATCTCAAATAAATAAATACATAAATACTTACATACATACAGAGTGAGGACCCTGGAGTTGAGCAACCTGGGTTCACAGTCAGTTCCACATCACATTGGTTATGAGAACTTGGGCTGGAGACTTCAGCCGCAGTTTCCTTTCCTTTAAAACAGTGACATGATCATGCCAACCTCAGGGAAATCTTGCACATTGCTTGGTACGTGGGAAGTCTGCGAAGCAGTAGAATAGAGAAAAGTTCCTCCTCTACCAAACAGACGGTTCTGGAGGCAGGGTGTTCTGAAAGGGATCAAAGACCCATATAGAGACCCAGATGAGCCGACAGGTTTGAGAGCCTGATCTCTTCCCATGTGGGAGTCTTGTCTCCCCAACAAACTTCTTATCTTCTGAAACTTTGCTTGTCTTCTTCTGCCACACCAATTGTGGCAGCCAGCTTCTGAGAAAGCACCAAATTCTCCCTGTCCCTTGGTATTCATGCCCCTGTGTAACCATCTTCCATGTTGTATCAGGATCGGTCTGTTTGATTAATAGAATACAGAAGTGAGGGTATGTGACTTCTACAGCCAGGTCATAAAAGACAAGAGACTTGTGCCTTGGACTCTCTCTTGGGTTGTTCACTCTGGAGGAAGCTGGCAGCCATGTCATGAGGACACTCAAGCAGCTATCCACACTGTTCATGTGGCCTGGAGCTGAGGCCTCCAGCCATCAGCCACTTGAGTGAGCCATCCTGGAAGGAGATTCTCCAGCCCTAGTCAAGCCTTCAGATGCCAACAGCCCTGGTCAGCATTTCTTGGGTACCTCATGAGAGACCATTAGCCAGAACCACCCAGCTCAACTGTTCCCAGACTCCTGAGTCTTAAGCTGCTAGGTTTGATGCAATTTGTTACACAGCAATAGATAACCAATATACATCCACATTTCTTCTCGATCTTCTCTTGCTCAGACTCTTGCATTTACTCATTACCTCCATAAAAATACTCTCAAAGTTACTATAAGGACACATGCACACGAATGTTTATTGCAGCACTGTTTACAATATCAAAGACTTAGAACCAACCCAAATGCCCAATGATGATAGACTGGACAGGGAAAATGTGGCACTTATACACCATGGAATACTATGCAGCCATAAAAAATGATGAGTTCGTGTCCTTTGTAGGGACATGGACGAACCTGGAAACCATCCTTCTCAGCAAACTGACACAAGAACAGAAAATCAAACACCACATGTTCTCACTTATAGGCGAGTGTTAAACAATGAGAACACATGGACACAGGGAGGGGAGCTTCACACACTGGGGTCTGTCAGGGGAAAATAGGGGAGGGACAGCAGGGGGTGGGGAGTTGGGGAGAGATAGCATGGGGAGAAATGCCAGACATAGGTGATGGAGAGGAAGCCAGCAAATCACACTGCCCTGTGTGTATCTATGCAACAATCTTGCATGTTCTTCACATGTACCCCAAAACCAAAAATGCAATTAAAAAATAAAAAATAAATTAAAAAAAATACTCGCAAAGTACTTTTCCCCCACAGGGTTCCATTTGCAGAGTTACATCCCACATTTCCCAGAGCCCCAACTTGCCTTGCCCTGAATACTCTGTGGACTTCTCAAGCACAACATCACCAATTCTTCCCGCTTTCTTCCTTCTGTTTTTGTCACCCTCTCAGCTTCTCGGGCTCGAAACCTTGGAGCCATCAACCACTGTCAACCTTCCGTCTCCAGCTCCATGTGGTCTTTCACTCAATCCTTTCTCCTGTTTTCACACCTGGAGGCCTGCCACCTCTGGCATGGTTCAGGCCCTCATTTTCTTGTCGGGAGGGCTCCTCTCCTGGTTTTTCATCCTCCCTGACTCTCCTTGCTTTATTTCCATCTTCATCTTGCTACCGTAGAATAAAGCTTTTGGAGTACTGTTTGCATCACATTTGTGCCCTGCTCAAAAATCCCAAGTGGCTCTCCACCATCTTCCACTTAACATCTCAACTCTGCAGCCTGGCCTAGCCTACCTTTCCACCTTGTGACTGTCTGCCCTAAAAACTGTGCTCTCATCTAAATGGACTAACCAGCTGTATCAGTTCACTATTTTTGGGTAACGAACCAACTCAAAATACAGAACTTAAAGCAACAACTATGTATTGTTTTCATGAGTCTTTGGGTCAGGTGGGTGGCTCTGCTAATCCAAGCGAGGCTCTGCAAGGCTCTATCTTGCATATGAATGAGGGAGCCCTGCAGAGCTGAGCTTAGATTAGCAGAACTGGAGCCATCCATCTGACCCAAAGACTCATGAAAAATAAAACATAATTGTTGCTTTAAATCACTCATAATAGTGCATGGAGTGGTAAGAAGACCACTTCTTATAACTGGGTAAGAAGACTCAGATGAGCCAACAAACAGGTTTGAGAGCCTGATCTTACATAAGGCCGTAATAGTGCATGGAGTGGTAGAAGCCAGGACATAGCTGAAATTTGAACAGAAATGTTACTCCCACCAAGTACATGTGGGGAGAATTTTTGGAGAAAGACCTTGACTTTAATGAATTCCACATCGGCCTGAAACCAAGGCCGAGTCTTTGCAGCCAGCCTCATGTGGCTGCTTGTGAGGCTGGCCTGGAACACCGTGGCCCACTGTGTGGTTTGGAACATGTTTTGGCTGGTGATTATACCATGCCGAGATCCAGTGTCCACATGGAGATCCAAAGCGTTCTGTCTGTTCTGGGCTTGCTGAGCCTCAGGGTGGACCTGGGCCTGCTAACCTGAAATGGAGCATGAGCCTGGCTTGATTTTCGCAAGGGCGGTGTAAGTAGTGGACCAATTCAAAATGATAGCTTCCAGAGTTGTATCATTAGCTCTCGTTGTTCCTACCCCATCCACCGACAGTGCTGGGTGGGAACGAGGAAGCCTTTACACAGTGACTGTCAGCATCGGGGATGGCCTCATCACTGTCACATCTATGATCAATTCCAACTGAAAGCGGCACACACTTGGGAGGACAAAGCCTATCAGAAAGCAGTTAACGAAGGAAGATGAATCTCCCCTTCGGGCCAGTGGTGGAGGGGAGGCACATTTTTGGATGATTAGCCATCTTTTAAACAAAGAGATACTGTTTCTTTATCTTTTAGAGAAAATATCTTTCTCTTTCCACACTATTTGTGTGATAATGTGTTTGTATCAGTTGATTGCCTTCTTGTCGTTGATATGTGTATTAATAAGTATTAACGATAATTCTGTTTGCTAAAACAACATAGAATAATTACTATTATTTGTAATGTTTTCCCACTTTTGGTTGGTTCAGAAATCTTTTATAGAAATAGCAATGCTATGTGTCTGTCCTTAAAAATAAAATGCCCACAGCTTAAGAGTTAAGATTGTAGAATCTTTAAAGGAGGATTTTGCTCCCACAGCAAGTAACCAGAGGTCCAACAGCTCAACGTTTGTGACATTTTTAGTAACTACTTTTTGTCTCCTGATAATGACTTGAGTCTAATTTTTCAGTATCTTTTGGGTTTAAAAAAAAATAGGCTGGGGGTGGCTCATATTTGTAATCCCAGCACCTTGGAAGGCTGAGGTGAGAGGATCACTTGAGGCCAGGAATTTGAGACCAGCCTGGGTAACATAGCGAGACCGCATTTCTACTAAAAAATTTAAAACACTAGCCATGAATGGTGGCACATGCCTGTAAGATACTCCAGAGGCTGAGGCAGAAGAATCCTTTGAGCCCAGGAGGTTGTGACTGCAGTGCGTTGAGATTGTGGCACTGCACTCCAGCCTGGGACAATGTGAGATCCTGCCTTAAAAAAAAAAAAAAAAATTTAAAACATGGGGGAGTGGGTTGGTAAATCCTCCTGTTGACTTGTTACAGTCCAATTCTAGATCCTGGCTCCTGTGCTCTGTGATCCTGAGGATCTGAAAATCTAGCCTTTCTCAGAAAAAGTAAACAGAGTAGGATTCCAGCCTGAGCTCATTCCTCTCCTTACTGTGGCTGTGTTTTAACCTCCGACGAGGATAGCAGTGTCGGCCCCACACGCACCCCCCACACCCCCTGCTTAAAAAGTTCTCCCTGTTAATCTCAGAGGTTTACCATATTAAAAGAGACTCATACATTTGGACATGAGCAGAATGTCATCTAGCGAAATGGCACAAGGCAAAATACCAGCAAGGGAAAGTCCCCTGTGTAATTTAGACCACCTTCACTTAGATGTAAATTAAGGTAGAGAAGATTAACCTGACCTACAGTAAAAACACACCGCAGATGGTTTAGGAGTTAGGTTGTTACGAGTAAGGTTAATTAATTTTTCAGGGGTACCAGAATATACTATTAAGTGTCCTGGAAGAAGTAATTTCATAAGAGTAATTTCCAGAAGGAGTTTATTCGTCTCACGTTGGTGAAAAATTTAGCTGCTGAGAGTACCATAATTTACTCCTTTTAAATAAAGCTTCCCCACCATGCTGGAAACTTGCTCATTTTGACCCGCTGTTTCTCATGTCCTCTGTGTGACCACTATAAAAATTTTCATCCGTTAGTATGAAAATTATGTGATTGCTTCCCTGAGCTACCTTAG